TCGTTCTGCAAGTTGGCTGGTAGGCTGAACAGATCTATCAGTACTGCTTCCACCATATTCCAGGTTATTTAAAGATTCCTACAACTGCCAAGTAGTCAGTAACAAAACATGAAAACCAAACAAAAAGACAAGATAACATCATTAGTCCAAACACAGAATTATGTTATTAAGGCAATGCATTCAGTGACACTGTGTAGAGAAGGTGGCATAGCAGTAATTAACGTCTTAGGATTTCCTCACTGCATCAAAAGAAATTGCAGCAAAAGAAAAGTAGCGGAAATAGGAATTATTATGTATTTAATTAAGTATTTAGGTATTCCCCTGCCACTCCGCCTACCTCAGGTTTTTCCCAGGTCAGGGATGATAAAAGGTTAGTACATAACATCAGATTCATTGGATCAATTAACCCACATTAGCCTAATGGATATCTTTGACCTCTGACTGTTGGGCCCTCCTCCAGCTCCCATGAGGGGAACCAAATACAGAGGTCCCTCAGCTTGCTGGGACTGGAGGAGTTTCTGTAACCATTTTTTTGGAGGCATTTTACACACTTATGGCTGAGCTGGAGCTCAGGTCTGCTGCCTCTCCTGGCAGTAGGGGTGCTGGGCTGTGAGCACAGGATCTTTCCCACAGGCCTTCACAGGACTTTTTGCACTTCTCCCTTTTGCGTTACCAAAAGTACTGACTTGCTAATTTCTGACTTCTGTGTGGAGGAGCACATGATCCGCACAGTTCTTTTCAACATGCACAGGAACTCAGCACTGGTTACTAAAACTTTATCTAGCAACGCGAGAAGCACACAGAACTGAATGAAAATAATATAATACTATGCACAACTTCCTGCCTCAGTTTTTTCACTATGGTAGCTGCACTCTTTGCTCTGAATTCGAGACACATTAAGCTTATCCAAAATCATCCTGTAGTTCACAGCTTGTCTTGTGGCCCATGGTGTAATTCTAGTTTTGGTGTGGGTTTTTTTTTTTTCCCCTTTTCTGGACGTTGTTGATCCAAGCCCAGCTAGGCTGCCTACCTGTTGAAACTTGTCCATCTGTCTCTTCCTCTGTCTGTTGCTATGAAAGCCTATTTTACATATCCTCTAGAAGTGTCTTCTTTTCTTTTCTCTGTCTCTGTGATAATTTTTCAGTTTCTGGTGCAAGCCTCCAGAGGCCTGGAACAAAAGACTAGATCCCTTTGCTTTGGGAACCTTGAACACACGGCTATTCAGATTTCGTGACTAAGCACCGTGCTTGATCTAGGAGGAACACATGCAGCTTTTTCACCAGTTGTAAGGCCCCATAATAATTTAGAGAATTCCTTAACACCACCATTTTTTTTGCACAGTAACAAATCGTGCATCAATATTAATTCCTTTGCAGGAAAATTAATATCTTTGCAGGAACAAAGGACTTGAGAATCTTTTTAAGTCTTTGAAATCAATGCTCAGCTACCAGAACTAACCGTATCAGATAATGCCTGGAACTATTTTCCTGCCCCAAGCCCTCATTCTCCTGTAACTACATGCATGCTCTGGCTTCACAGCAGTTCATTCTCCTGCAAAAATACCGCTTCTGTGTGTAATTGAGGTCTATCACTATGGGGGACTTGGTGTCCTCCTCGGCATTTTATGGTTGACAGTGAATTCCCAGAGTTTCTACACTCAAATGAGAGGTCAAAGACCTTTCTGGTTTTAATGGATCATTTATTCAGGGTAGGTTTTACAGAAAACATTCTGTATTTTCTTCATTGTTCTTTCCCCCAGACTGGAAGAAAAATAATCCTGACTTAAAATGATGTTTTCCTTTCTGCGAGTTGAATGCTTACAAAGATTAATTACTGACTATCAAAACAGGTGAACTAAAAGTATCAAAATGTGACAGCAGATAAAAGTATCTGCCCAGGAATTTATGACTCTTGATTTTGCTCAAAGTATTATTTACACACAGCTGATTACAGATTTTAGAGAACACAGCTTGCTAAGAAAACAGTGTCGAAACAGACTTGTGTCAAAGACCACAACTTGGGAAATCAGGATATTTCCTTCCCTACCCTGACGCTCTCTGTGGGAGGCCTGTAAGAATATGGCGTGATCCCAATCTAGGTATAGCAAATGGCTCCAGCAAAGACAGTACAACAGAAGGGTGTAGTGGAAAAACAAGATTATTGTTCCACTTCAGATATGTCAGTAGTGGAAGGCAAGTAGAGTTCATTGCTGTCCTCATACTTCCCCAAAAAATACCACCAGAGAAAGGGTAGACGGGAAGTGTTTGTGGAGGGAGAGGTAATTGCCTATATTGTTATTAAGTTGTGTGTGCATTGCAAAAAGTCCACAGGGGCAATTATTGGGATGTACAAAAAGAAACAATGGGGCTGATTCACCCTCGTATCCTTCCAGTTTTGCATCACAGAGTCTTACTGAGGTCAGTGGTGTCCGAAGTAAATTTGCTTAGAGTCGTAATAAAGTTTTTTGACTGCTTTCTAAGTCCCCCAAACAAAACCCTTCTCAAAATACAGGCTTGCTAAGCACAGCAATGCTTTAGCTTATGAGAGATGCATTCACAGTTACTCAGGTTTTAAGTAAAGTAACATGCTCTACAGTCCCAGAGTTCCACAGAAAGTCTCACTGCATGTAACCGCATCAGGAAAGATTAAGTGCGTTTATTAAGGAGTTGCTCATTTCAATACACAATGCAAGGCAAATACTTGCACAAGCTTGAAGCCAAGGCCACCCATTAGCTGTTTTGCTCACTCTCTGAAACTCTGTCAGCAAAATCATTTGGAGGGTAAAAAGATTCTCTTGCACAGACATCAAGAAAAAAAAAATCAAAGAAAATGATAGATAACGAGAAGAGAGGAGAGGTGAGGAGGTTAACAAGAGTGAAAAGGAGAAAGGCGAAGTGAATACAGAGAAGAAACAATGAAGGAAATAAAACCAGGCTGCAGAAAAGAGGCAGCTCAGGGTAGAAAAAAGATCCAAAAAGCAACTTCCAAAAACCCCAGAAATCTAATTCTAAAAGCTCACTGTTGGTCAAGACAAGATTGCTGGCAATTTCCTGCACCTTTGAATCCTACTGGTCACCTTATATTCTTACAGAAACTGAGAGAACTGACATTGTTTTGGGAAAATTAAAAAGCCAAGAAATATTTAACATCTGCCAGAAAGAGATGCCCAGAGAAAGAAAACAGGTCATTTAAGCCACCCAAATTAACAGGGATAAGAGAACATTTGTAATAAAATTTCAACAGCAGCAAAGACAAAAAAATGGAAAAAAAAAGAAATACATAAAAACCTCTTAAACTGGATTAAAAGAAAACATTCTGCCTCTTTTAACTTAGGGGTATTTAGGCAAGGTTGAAGAAACTGAAATCAGCACTTACAATGAAAACATTGAAGTACATGCAGTTTTCATAAACAAACTCTTAAGCTTAAAACAGAGGAATTTACTTACACAGGTAGACAATCCTTTTAAACTCTTGAAAGATATCATCTGATATAAACACACATTACAAGCTTTATATATCTCAGTTCTCGCTGTCAGTCTTGCAACTGATGTGTACAAGATGGAAATTCCTATTCTAGGCAAGACTGGAGTGGGAACCTGTATTTCTTCTTTATGATGAGACCCTGCTTTGCTGCTGTCAGGAAATAACAAACTGTACTGAAAGGCACCTACATGATTAAGTGCCTGGGTAGCATTAAACCCGGAAGCAGCATTAACCCTGCCATGTAACTCGCTGCTGTAATCATATGTTCCAATGCATCAGCTTTGCACAACCTCCAACAGATTCAGAAACGTACAGCACATCAAAAGAGAACAAGAACACGAAGAAGTTTAAGGAAAACTTGTGCAGACCGAAGAAGTTTCCTTTTTTGAGCTGTAACTGCACGTTCCATTGAAGAATTTGGCAGTCAGTCAAGAAAAAGTATGTTCAGAAGGACCCAGATAGAGAGGTTACGAGAGGTCAGGCTTCAGGGCCACAGGCCCGAAATGAGGATGCCGATTTCTCCTCGGAGCAGTCAGAAATTTCGCAGAGCTCTGTAAAAAAGTCTGAATGTTTTGACAGGAAAATGCAAAGGTCAAAGTTCAAAAGGCAAGTGGAGGAATTAGGGATTTGTATCAGGCTTTGTCCAAGAATCATATGATAATAAATATATTTTCTCAGCTGTGCTAAAATCAGTTATGACAGGTAAGTATATGACAACTAAAGGACAAAAAAAAAAAAGTAATTTTTTCATGAACAGAGGAATTAGTAAAATCAGATTTCCTGTGAATTGCTGTCTTATGTCCCCTGTTCCTCCCTTCCCTTCAGCTCCAGTAAACCGACATTTCTGCCAGGTCCAGAACACACCTTGGGAGTTCCCCACCATTCCCCTTCCTGCTTGTCCTTCCAGCACACACTGGGCAGAGGTATGAGAGCTGAATCCTCCTGGCTCCCAAAAATCCTCCTCCCAAAGGGAACCAATGTGGGTATCTTGTACTTCCCCACCCAGACACCTATTTTCATGAAGTTTGCAGAAATCAGTTATCTCTGAGGCTTTCCACCCCACTGTCAAATGTGTCTGAACTAGATCATTAAAAATTAACAGGGGGACTTGATGGGAGAGAGAGCCCAACACAACCATTATCTTTCCTTCAACCAGACTAAGAAAAATAATTACTGGGGTTATTTTTGGTACAGCATTCTGAAAAAGGATCAGAAAATATCCAGGATACAAAACAATATTGAAAAATGACAAATTGATGTTAAGTCTCTGGTTGAAGTATTATATTCAGCTTCTGCCATTTCAAAAAAGGGACAAAATAAACAGATCACATGCAGAGATGAGCAATTACATTATAGAAATTGTGGGATTTAGGGTTAAAATTCCTTAACCTGGAGGTCAGAGGAATACGAGTGGCCAGGAGACAAGTCCGTGGCTATAAAACAGGGCACGCTGTAGAGCAGGAGAAACTGGGCCACCTTTCTTATTCCTCGTAACCCGATGGTGCTCAGCAAAACTTATGTTCTCTGCAGTGTATATCAAATGCTAACAAATTATGACGGAAAATGCAGTTTAATGGGATGAATTAGGTCACTCAGGGAACTCAGAAGCGAAAAACAGCTAAGCAAAACTGCCTCAGCCACAGGGCGAGCCAGGCCGCGCTGCCCTTGCAGGCCCCACCGCGCAGCACCCACCCCTTTCCGACAGGATGATTTACTCCCTCCGTTCTTCCTCCGCCTGCCGCCGGGGAGAGCCTCCCCCGCGCCCCGGCCCTCTCCCGCCTCTCTGTGCCCCTTGGCCGCCGCTAACTGCCGCCTTCCCCTCACGCCGCCTCCGCCGCTCGCCTTCCCTCGCTGAATTTCTCCGACGCTCCCTAAGCCCCGCACGCCGCGCTGCGGGGCTGGCCCTTGGCCGACGCTCCCCGGCCCTTGGCGGGCCGCGGTTTGGGCGGGAAGGGGCGGGGCGGGGCAGCTTCCCCCCCTGAGGGGGCCCCCGTGGCCGCCGCTAACTGCCGCCTTCCCCTCACGCCGCCTCCGCCGCTCGCCTTCCCTCGCTGAATTTCTCCGACGCTCCCTAAGCCCCGCACGCCGCGCTGCGGGGCTGGCCCTTGGCCGACGCTCCCCGGCCCTTGGCGGGCCGCGGTTTGGGCGGGAAGGGGCGGGGCGGGGCAGCTTCCCCCCCTGAGGGGGCGCGGTGAGTGAGGGGGTGGCCGGCGCTGCTCGCTCTACTCGCCCACCTCGCCCTCCTTCTCGCCCAGCGGCGGCGGGGTTGGTAGCGAAAGGAGGTGGTCTCGTCGTGGCGGGGCGCCTGGCTCTGCTCTGTTCTCCCTTTCAGTCCCTTTGGGGGTTTGGGATGTGTGCCGCAGAGGCAGGCCTGCTCGGTGGTGGGGGGTGCGGAGTGCCTGAGTAGGATAGAAGGGAGAAGTGAGGGGTGCCGGGACAACCGTTGCAACAGCTCTAAACATCAAATGATAGATGCGGTTTCCTAGTTAAGGCGACCAACCTTCAGGCACAGTTCGTGGGTCATCTGAGTGCCATTTAATATATTGGGCCTGAAGATACACTTGTGCCAGACTCATTGCGTTTTCTTCAGAGTTTGACGTTACTTTATATAACAATACAGGTTTTCTTCATTAATTTATTCAATCGGAAATGATACAAAAATAGCGCTAAATATTTTCTAATCAGGTGGGGGGATCTTTACAGTGGTCCTAGTGTGTGATTGTCAATGTGACAGCTTTCTCAACATTGTTTATCTTACATTAAGGGTAGTTTAATAGTTAATATACTAGCCAGTTGTGGTATGGTAACTGCAATAACATAAATATTCAAGCTAAATATGAGAGCATGCTCTCATGCATTTTAGATGGTCTTAAGATGCTTTTAAGAGCTACGACTATATTCACAAACTGAGGATCTGACCTGTGGAGAAGCCAGAAGAACATTGCAATACTATATTTTATAAAACTCTGCGTGAAAGGGTTGTAATTCTTGATCATTTGCTTTGAGCATCTACCCTTCAGTAACCTGTTCTTGTTAATAAAAAATGAACCAAATGAAATAATGTATTGATCTCTGATCCCATAGGAAAGGCCTTAATATTGTTATCTTTCATTAACAGTTAGCAATTAAATAGAATGGTGGTAAAACAATTCACTTCTTTTTTTATGTCCTTACAGTTCTGCACTTTTGCCTAAAATGACCAAGCCAAATTCTCCATCACTAACTGAAGTTGTAAAACAAGTTGCAGAGCAGCAGCATTCACAAGCATCAGAGATAGAAAAAAGCAGAACAGTTCTTTTCCAATTGCAGGTAATAAGCCTTGTTTGGAGTAGCTTAATTCATTTAATTTTTTTCATTAGATGAGGAATTATTCCTAGGAACAAGAGAAGCTGATGGCACTTCATTTTTTCTGGGTATTTGCATTTAAGTGTAAGGCAGCTGTTCTGTTCCTATGTGTGGCATTTAGGCTTAGCCAAAACTGTTATGTGTATTGTTATTTGTAAGGCTGCAACATAGCTAAGACTTCATTAGAGCTGGTTATAGCAGAAGCTTTTATTTGGAAAAACCGAAAACAAACCAAACCCCAAAAAACACTGAGATAGCAAACCCACAAAAACTCAATACAAAGGTAGAACTCTTAGAATTTTTCGTAGTGGTTTCCTGAGAAATTAATGAAAAAAAAGTTTTTTTGGCAGATTTTCACCAGACTCTATAATTTTTTCTTGGCATCTTTTTCATACAAAATACTTTTTTCTCTATGTTTGAAGTGGGTGTCCTAAATAGTCATTAAATACTGGTTTTGTTTGGTAATATTTTGTAGAACACTGGATACATGTAGTTTTCGTGAAGACTATGTAATCATTTCTGTTCTAATCTCTCACAGACATTATTAAGCTTTCAATTATTATTTAACCTTTGAGATCAAATTTCTATTGAGACACATTTAATTCTGAGGAAAGACACAATAGCATTCAGGCATTTTTGAGCATGGGAGAATGCAAACGGAAATAGTAGAGTTCCAGTTATAACATGTGAATAGCCCTACAACTAAAATAACTGAGCTTTAAAATTTTGTACAAAGATAACTTCTCTGAAGGAGCAGTGAAAACTTTTATTGCTTAGGAATGTCAATTGACTGGCCACACCTTGCAAGAAGCTTTCTCCTAATTATATACCATCCCATAATATAGTATGATGATGCTGCAACAATTAATTTGTGATCAAACAATTTAAACAAGGGTATCTGTTTTCAAAAAAACCCAAAGAACTTTAGAGCTCTAGGTAATTAAGTTAGCTCATTTATTTTCTTCGTCTTCCACACTTTTTCTTTCAAAAAAGCCCAAACCCTAGGAAATTCCATACAAACATTAATGTTAGCAGAACAGCAAAGTTACATAATTAGGAACTTAAAGTCAGAATGCAGAACTGCTTTTTCATCTTGACATCTATTCCCATGTGTGCGTGTCACAGAAGACACGGAAAACAATACTTTCCTTTCCAAAATTGAAGATCTTTGCTGTTAAGATTTTTGCTTTCCTGTCCTCAGTAAATGGTGGCTGGCAGTGATACAAATCCTGCTAAAACTGTAGCCCAAGATTTCCAAATTAAAAGTTACACAGAAACTTTTTGTTCTTAACAGTTAATAATGTTTTAATCTGTTCAAGACATTGAGTAAGAGATTTCATAGCACCCGTAATGCTTCCATTAGGGAAAAGATAATAGGTGACATAAATCACGATGCTAATTCTCTCACTTAATGCACTACTGTTGGCTGTTACTTTGGATAGGATTCGTCATAGCTAGCTTACATCACCTACAAGTCAGATGTTAAGCCTGTATTAGTCATCTAGGCTCCCTCGGTAGTTGTCAAAGAGAGGAACATTTCTGAGGCAACAATTCAGCCCCCCCGTCTTAGATTTATGTGTAGACTTGGCACTTAGGGACATGGTTTAGTGGTGGGCTTGGCAGTGTTCAGTTTATGGTGGGACTCGGTGATCTTAAAGGTCTTTTCCAACCTAAATGATTCTATGATTTCTTATGAGGTGTCTAAGTACTGTTTTCTGGAGTTGTTCACTTCTCATCAGTGAGAAGATGTAGAGGCCTTCTTAGGACTAGATGCGTATTTCTTAGGGGGTTAAAAATAGCTGGGGTTAATCCTGCTCTCAAATACTACTGTGATGATGGCAGGATTAAAAACTTCAGTAGAACAGGCTAATTAAGCTCCATCACCCCAAACACCCATCTTTGTGTTTGGGGGTTTGTAAGTGATTTTTGGCATCATTAGTTATTTTTAGTCTGATTAGGACTTAACCAGATTTCAGCTCTAAACAAACATTAGGATTGAGTTTGATCTGTCACATCCTATGTATCTTGCAAATACGAGGAATTTAAAGTAATTTCAAGGATACTTTATTTCATATTTTAGACTCAATCTAAGGGGAGAAGTCTAAGATTGTATTCCTGCATTGTGCCTCTAAGGTGATGGCTTTAGGAAATGGAACTCTAATTATCTTCCATTCAAGCCACATTAAACAAGTGAAAAAGACGACTGTTGAATAAATATAAATCACAGTGTTTAACTAGATACCTAGTATCCTCTCAAAAAATATTCTTAATGAACACTGAAATATTTTACAGGCAAAGTTTCAGGAACTAGAAAAAGAAATGGATTCTATTCTGTTAGAAACGAAGACAACAGAAAGGGAAATATATGTGCAAGATGATGCCATAGAAGTGACAAAATATCACTGTGAAAATCTGGAGGCCCAAGTCAGAACCCTATATTCTGAAAATTTAAAGCTGAGGCGTGATGCAGAAACAGTACAAGAAGAGTTTGAGATGACATTTGCAAGAAATAATGAATATCGGGAAAAAATAAAGGCTCATAAACACCTCGTTTGGGAGATGGAAAGTAAAATGCCAGTTATGCTTGAGCTTGCTAAAAAGAAAGCTGTTGTTAAAGAATTAAAGGCAATGAAAGAGGAGTTAATGCATGATCTCCAGAATCCAGAAGGATCTGTTATAAAACAAGTGCAGGTACTATATTTCCTCTTTGATTCTTTTCCTTTTGTGTGAAATAATTTTGGCATAGTTTAGCTAATATGATTATTTTGTCTAATATGTTTACGGTTCATGAGGGACTGACTATGGGGAATATAGATAATTTATAATGCTACATTAATTGAAGTACGCAGTGAAAAAAAAATCAGTCGTTGTTATCTGTATATTATTGTAAAAGTCAGGTTCATTCTATATGATCAAATGAACTCAGCTATGAAAAACATTACGGAGCTGTAAATTAAACTATATCATTTCCAAACTATTTGTGGGCTTCTTTGGGTTGTTGGATAAACTCACATGGACACTTTTCAGAATTCTGTGGAACATTGCCATGTTGTTACATTTTTCGTGTAAGACCACAGTATTCTTTTAACTTTGCTGTCAGGTAACAAACTACAGTTGAGCTATTTGCCAACAGGAGGTAGATTTGATGAGACGGTGATAGAAGGAGAGAGGAAAAATATATTTGTTTTGGTATTCTAGTCTAACACTGTTGTTTTTACTTGACCCCAATTGCAATACTTATTAAAAACTACCATGTAGAAATTTTTCACCACAAAACTTTACCACTATATGAGCAAAGACAAGTATGAAGTTGAAATGGGGGTCACAGATTTCAACTCAGATGCAACTTGCATTATTGAAAATCTGCTGTTACTCTATTCACGTAAATTGATGAAAATGTAGTTGTACAAGCAAATCTTTAAATACTGATAAATAAAGACTCACAAACATTGTATTTCCCTATGAGAAAGAAAAATCTATCTCAAATATTACATGAAATATTCTTTGATTTTGCAATAAGTTATATTTTAAACAAAATTAAGACCTCCAAAATGAGTTCAAATTCTTGTACTGTTGTAGTTGGTTGCATATTTCAGATCAAGAGTATATCTTCTTAAGTATCTAAAGCCATGTTATAAATTATTTTAATTAATAATTTCAATTACACTTCTTAAATTATTATTAAATTAATTATTATTAATTATTTTAATGTGAAATTGTTATAGATCTTTATCTTGTCTCTATTAATGAAGTGAGACTTAAAATGTGACATTTTTTATAAGCTTAATAGATTTACTGTGCAACTTTTTAAGGAGGGGATTTCTGTATCTTGACTTACATCTGTAGGAAGAAATTACACTTTTGAAAAGGGAAATCACAACGTTGAAAGAGTTCATCAATAAAAAAACAGATTTGCTGGAAGAAGAGAAAAAAATGCATGCTAAGCTTAGAAAAGAAATTGAGGTGAGTCATTTGAATAAAATGTAATTACAGTTCTGGCAGAATGTAGATAGTGCAAATGAAGGCTGAAGTACTTTATATGCTGTTGCTGGCCATACATTATTCAAGTATATACAGTAACCATGCTATCTTAAATTCTTGATACTGATAGTCTTTCTAAAATTCGGCACTTAATTGCTATCATGAGAAAAATTGAAATTAATTCTTAAGTCTTTTAAGAAGGAGTTTGGCTGTGAACTTTTGGAATGATGTTCTGAAAAGAAAGAGGTCACCGAATGGTAGTAAAGCAAAATGCACATTTTTTTTATTTCTGTAATAATTTTGAAATACTTTAAATTTCACTGCTGACTTGATTATTCATGACTTGTCTCATGGTTCCTGATAACTCATCAATGGGAGAATCAGTTGCACCAAGAAAATGGACTTCCCATGAATCTCCCTAATTTGAGCTGACATTAAATTAGGGATAACACAGCAGCTCCTAATTAGCTGCCAAGATAAAATTCTGATAAATAGCTAAAACCTTCTCTTTATAAAAAAATTGAACTATATTTTACATTTTGTTCCTTACTAAAATACTTTGGATGTCTAGATAGTTTTTACTTTGGAAGTTTCACATCATTTATCTTGTTAGTTCAAATAAATGCCACAAAATTTAATGAGCAAAGCTTGATAATATAAAGATTAACTGATCTAAGGTTAGCTCTAGTGCCCATTGTAAAATGTAGGAGGAAAAAAGAATCATTTTTCATGTGATAGGGAACAGCAGAGAATTTTTAAACTGAAAAGCAAAACACAGCCACTTTAGAATAGGTCTATGCTATTCAGCATCTGAGAAAATATTTTATTATCAAGGCAACATCCTTCTAAGAAAGTTCTCTAAACCCAAAGTGAATTGAGGCAGCCTAAAAATAATGTTTTGTTCTGTTATCAAAATCAATTTAATTAAATGGTGAAGGTTAACCTGTTCTTCAGTTGTTTGGATTATACGATCTTTTTGTCTCAGAAAGAAGCAGGTTTAAAAATGGAATCTTTCCGGGTATTATTTTCTATTAAGAGCTCTCTGGAAAACAATCCGATTTTTAATATAAAAACTGACAATGGACAGGCAGAGACATTAATACTCAGCAGTCCTCAGCAGCACTCAGGAAAGAATATGCAAACCAAGCATGGGAAGAAAGTGAGATACTAGACACAGGAATGAGGTTCCATTGAGCTGCAGCGGTGGGATTCAGCTACAGACTGTCAACTGTGGTCGAAACGTGGTTGTTTGAATGCAGGTGACTACATGAGTCAAACAGGTTCCCACTGTAATCACTGGAGGTGTAGTCAGCGCAGTTGATGATGTATTCTAGAGATCAATTCCGTTGGCCATATGTAGGTGGTTACAGTACGGTGAGCTGCATAATCTGGTCTTTCTAGGCTTTATAGTTTGCATTGGCTAGATTTCTATTGATCAAAACAGGAATGTAGCCATATAGATCACACATACACCTCTAAAGCTAGGTGTCTTATTCTGCAGACTGACCCCACCTCAAGACTTCAGCGCTTGTCGTAGGACTTTTACATATTGCATGGATTTTCAGCTTCTAGCACTGTATGGGCCAAAAGTATCTGGCCTCTATAACCTTGTGGAGTTCAACAAGGCCAAGTGCAAGGTCCTGCATCTGGGTGGGGGCAATCCCCAATATCAAGACAGACTGGGTGATGAATTGATTGAAAGCAGCCCTGTGGAGAAGGACTTGGGGGTACTGGTAGATGAAAAATTGGATGTGAGCCGGCAATGTGTGCTCGCAGCCCAGAAAGCCAACTGTATCCTGGGCTGAATTTATAAAACATTAGTGAGGGAGGGAGTTAGTTATATGTGAAATTTAGGCAGCAAGACTTAGGTAGCAGAAATTTAGGCAGCAAGGACGTCACTGGCAATGCTGTAGTTCTCGTGCAGCTGTACACCATCATGTGTATGTTAAATACAGTGTAATAATGTTTCAATAAGCAGACACAAGAATAGTTACACACTACCACTCATATGCCATTCAAACTAGGGTAAGCAAGCCCAAATTTTTATTAAGTGAATACCCATTATTTCCATTTTTATTATACTGAATTTTTCATGCTTTTACAGTTCAGAATGCAGATCCTCAGAGGGTTGTCTGCAGCAGCCATTCTTCACATAGGGCAACAATCAGGGCAAAATTGATACAGTACTGCCTTGCCACAGTATTGCCTTTCTAAGAAAAACATACCTTTTTAAGTGCAGTGCAACAGTGAAGATGCTACTACAGCCATCTAGGTTACCTCATTTGTCTTCTAATTTGTACCCAAATACACTTGTCAAAGAATGAAAATTTCTTCCTTTCTCACCTCTCACTCTAGAGCCTGAAATCGTCCATGTACAGAGTGTTGCCACAGCTGTGACATGCTGACTCTTTGGGTGGGATTTACTTTGTTAAATTTTAGACATCTACAGAGCAGATACCCACACTGAACACTTCACTTAAGCTCTTAGTGGGACAGAGCTTTTCTCTCCCTTAGTGGGAAAGAGAGGCACAATTCATGTTGTCCTAAAGCAGATATCTGAAATAAGTCAGATGAATTGCTTCCTAGATGTCTGTGTCTCTTCAGCAGTTATAAATTGAACATGGAACAATTTGGTCAAATGTCAGAATCTATACTTAGACAGAGTTAGGTGAGCTGAACCCACCTCTGTAAATAGTTTTACTTGAAAGAAATTTTGAAGTGAATTTTATTCCATTTTATTAGGTACAGAATAAAAGATATGATGCTATTCTGAAACGTTTGCATTGCCAACTGAACAAACTCCATTCAAATAAAAGACAATGGCACTGGAACATTCAGCAGTTGGAGAAGAAGGCAGCAGAACTAAGAAAGTGTCTTGGAGCAGTGGGGTTACAAAGTAGCATATAAAACAAACCTAACAAAGCTACAATGTGGGTAATCTTTTCCAGACTGAGGAGCTTTTTTTCTGAAAATACTACAAATAGTAAATAGCCTGATAGCTGGGCCAGGGCTCAATGATTTCTTTCTTTTTAAAGTTTTTCTGCCTTTCATTCTGTGGCCTAAACTAGGCTGTGCTCAATCTGTAATGCTTTGGAATAACTTTGCCTTTTTTTACTGTAGCCAAAGGCTGTTCGGGAAGAAAGTTACTAATGTTTCCAGGTGTTTTCAAAATATGTCCCAATTTTATCTAAAAAGCCATCTGAAGTCAACCAAATAAGATTTGAGGAGTTCCTTTTTAGTTGATTAGATCTCTGAAGATTTAGGTTCTATGATTCTATGATTCTGTGATTGTTTTTCCTACAGAGAAATTAGTGTCAGTGTATATTTGCATTCTTGAGATACCAAAACTCCAGATCTTTTATCCACATCCCTTATTATTGCAACCTACTAAGAAACTCTGAAAGCTCCAATGGCCTGTATTTTGCTGTGTGGGAAATTCGTATAGAAGATGTTACAGTCTGTTTGCCCTCTATCTGCCAGGATGTCCTAGCATGAGGGACAAGGAGCACATAGGCTGTCCAGCTATAAAAGGCTTAGGAAAAAGTGTGCTCAGAACTGGGCTTCAAATAATCTGACTTCAACTGGTCTAATATATGTTAGCAAAGAGGAATGAGTAGGTAAAGAGAGTACTACATCTGGACAGCTTTTAAAGTGGAACAACTCACCCTCTAGAAACAGGAATGCATTACAGGTGATTAAAGAGGAAGTTACTGTGTAGAGGATCTTAACTAACTAGTACTAGCCATCTAACATCTAAGTGCTTAATGTTCAGTAAGATGATTCTTGACATAAATGATGACCTATTAAAAATTCTTGTTAAAATAGTAGTGAACAGTAGACATTTTTCTTTGCCTTTTTATTCTGTGCTTGGCATTTGAGGAATTTACAGTACTTTCTCTATTCTTACACTTGAAGTAATAGTTCTGACTGGGCATAACCTGTAGCATTTATCTGTTCTATGGAAGTAGCTTTTCATGTGAGTTGTTGTCTTGAATAATTTAGATTTATCTTTACTCCTGAATATAAAATGAAGATTTAAGCAAATTGAGTATTTACTGTGGAAAATGTTAAACTGCCTATATATTGTTAGCTTAGGAAAGCAAAGTTTTAAATGCGATACTATTATTACTTGTGTTAGAACATTCATATATTCATGTATATTTACATTTCCCTTAATATGTTATTTCACTTAATATAAAGTTGTTTTAAACAATATGCTGACTGATGAAAGCTCTCTCTTAGCATTGTTAGAGTCTCAAGTTTGTTTGGCTTGGTCTTTTTCCTTTGCAGTACTATCAACCAGGCTACTTTCATGAAAACAATAACGTAGAAATGAAAGCCTCAATATCCTATGCTATAGTAACAGTAATGGGATACGAATAATTTGCTGGGTTAAAACTTTTCTAACCTAATTTATTTTAAAAGAAGACAAAGAAAGACATCTTAAAACTAACCCCTAATCTTAACTACCTTTCTGTTCTGAAGAGACTCACACATTCATTGCTCACGAGTCCCGAAAGCACCAACAGACCATTGAGTCTTATCAAGTATATAGTACATTACTGTAGCATTATAACTGTTTATCCCTACACACAGCAAAACAGCTTGCATTTGCTGCACGTGTATCTTCTAGAAAGGGATCCAGGCTTTAAAAATTGGAGACTTTACTGTGTTATTGGTAGTTTCAGTGGTTAACTGCTCTTCTTTTGTTTTGCATAATTTCTAATTTCAATCTATTCAGCCATCCAGTGAAATAAGTGTACTTTATATTGGGTAGTTTCTCTCCATAAAAATACTTATGCACCGTCTTCTTGCTGAATTAAATAGATCGAGCCTTTCAAAGTTATTGACTGTCAGATCTGACTGAGAGTTTTAGCTTAATGCATCCCCCCAAAAGTGGTACAACATCAAAAATTCTCAGGGTATTAAGACTGGATGCCCTTAAATGTGCCTTTTACCACTGACATTGTCTTGTTTTCATATTTAGTCTCTAATCATTTCTGAACCAGAAAAATTAATGCATCAAGATACGTTTTCTATCAGCTACACAAGTTAATTCAACCAAATTTACTTACTTAGTTGATGCTTACTACCATGGTTATAATATCACAGTTTAACCTTGCACTTTATTACCAGTTGAAAGCAACTCTAGCAAACAATCCAAACCTTCTCGTGTAACAGAAGTATCACACCTTTATTTTTATTTTTCACCAATGAAGATGCTCATTATTACTTCTCTGAGTATTAGGGCAGTTTCTATGTATCAACACATGTACAGCATGATGCAAGTAAATACCTTGGACATACATTTCCTTGTTCCGTTTCATAAATCTCAGTAAGTTTCAGTATCTCACTTTACTTTTATAGTTCTTTTGTACATGTTTTGAAATCGTTTAATATAATTTAATAAAGGTGAATACAAGAGCTGTATGTAGTACTCGCATTAGTCCTACATGCAGAGGAAATGTTCCCTTCTCCTGCACAAAGGCCTTCCTATCATCCAAGGCCTAAGTTGTCTAACGCTCCTTTTGCTCTGTTCTTTGCAAGAGAGCTCATGTTTTTGCTCACTGGGGCCCTTGATCCCTTAAAGGGATCTTAGCTATCAAAGGTGTATTCCTCCTTTTTTCCTCAGTGTAAAACTTGCTTTTCCAGTATACATATTTAAATGGACTAAGCTTATCTCAGTTGTGTCTCAAATATTCTGGCAACTACAGAGGATTCCTCTACATCTGGTAATGGCTGAACTCTATATCAAAAAGAGCCCTGGCCATTTGTGATTCCCTCCAATTCACATCCTGGTTTTCCCAAGAAGAAACTCAGCTGTGCAGGCCAGAAAGGAGCTGCTGCATGGTTTAGCTGTATCCCCATATGGATGGTGGGAGTTTTGGAAATTAAAGTACACCTCAGCTTGTCAGCTTTCCTGCCACAAAATGTGGCTATAGTTCAAGTATTTAATGTGTGTCTGTGTTATATGTAACTCTTCTGCTCTCATTTAATTAAGAAATTATGCTAGAACTAAGTTTATCTTTAATTCCATATCAAAGAAAGATACTAGTGTTGGTCGTAATACCAATACCTGTGGAATTCTACTAATACCCCCTTCATATATTGGAGTTTCTTTAACAATTATCTGTGGAAGTATGGTAGCTAGTCCTTAATCCATTTTACTTATGTTTTACCGACTATATAGAGTATGAGCTCTTTAATACAAATGTTGTTTAGTACAAAGACTACCATGTTGCAAAAAGTCTGTTCCATCTCTGAAATAATTTGTTATAAGATATGGACTCTGTCTGTTGTTGTCATCCCGCATCACTGTCCTAGTTAAATGCCACAATTATAATCTCTCATCCCACATAACCGTAATATTTGTGTGTTTAACTCAACTGCCTTGACACCTGAGTTGATTCATCTCTAATCTTTAAAGCTTTGATTGTCCTCAGTCCCCACCAAACTTGTAGAAGTTTAGTCACTGAAGTTTAGTACACCTGAAATCTGTATTTGGTTGTTTCATGTGCTAAACATCATGTTTTACAGGATCAAATAAATTTTGCACACTTCTGATTAAACAGAACTTTGTATCATACAGTACTTACATATTTTCCCAGGTGCAGCATTTCAAATTTAGCATTCAATATTTAACAGATAATAAATATAAGAAAGGCATAAACACTTTACTAGTGAATTGCAGTTAATCAGGAGAAAAACTCATCTGGGAAAAAACTCAGCTGAAACAAGAAAATATAAATTACTGCCTTCTCTAAACAATCAGCATTCTGTACAACATATGAAAAAAGAAATGTATGTAGCTTTTTATAAAAATGTCTAATTCGAACAAATCCTGGCAACCTGCTGAGGCTGATTTTTCTTGGTACAATGTTGGACAGTAGTGGGTTGATCTTGTAGCATTTTTTTCCCTTAGCAAGCAAGCACAGACAGTAGGAGAATGATTTATGATTTTCGGGGAATAACTCAGTGAATGCACTTTGTGTTCTTATTACATGAGGCTCTCCCAGCTGCTGGTGGAGAAGCGTGCTGCCAAACCCCTATCAGTCATTTCTGAGGATAGGTGTGGGGCTAAGGGAAGAACTTCTGGCTGCAGCACTCTGCAGGCAATGGGAAGAGAAGTGACTGCCCGCTCTGAGCAGCAAAACAGACAGCAAGCAGCAACGGACATGTAAATAAACAGGAGTGTGGAAAAACTTACCAACCAATGAGTCCTACCCACCGCTTAGCAAAAGTTTGGAGCACAGGAAACTGGATTTATTTCAACAATACAGTGTAAATGAGTAGGAACGTACTGGGGGAACTCCACACTTGACAGCCATTGGATCACGTCATGTGATGCAGCAAATGTACTGGTGGGTGCTAAAGCGAAGGATTTTCCCATGCTGTAAGCTATCTCCACATGAAACCTTTTCACGTGACCCAACAACCTCAGATGCTGAAGCAGAGGAAATGTGTCAGATAATACAGACATACCTGCTAAGATCTTTGCTCTCATCAAGGCTACATGCGATACACTACAGAAGAGAGAAGGTTGGTTGGGGGTAGGCACCAAGGTTATACTGCTTTGCCTCTGTTTCAGAGTTTGCTTTGGCTCTCAGGAGTCACTTGCAGAGAGCTGTGTGCATGAGCGTGACGTAAGTAATGCATGCTACTGTTGTTCATACACGATGCTTCAGAGGAAGGCGAAATCATGGCCAAACCGTATGTCATGCTGCTGAGGATGAAAAAAAAACTTTCAGAACTCTTACCCAATTTTCTGAAATGCATGAATGTATCATTACCAAAGTAATTATTAGATCCTTTGTTAAAATGCGGCTGCAGTATGTAGCTCTGAGTCATGTCAAGGTAGTGACTTCTTGAGGAATTCCAAGCAATACAGAAATATTTTTCTTTTAATT